GGGGCAAACACAATGGCTTAGCCATGGGGCAGTTTTTAGCAACTGCCTTGGAATACAAATGAAGGGTGGGTATTCCTGGGAAATAATTCTTCTCTGGATTATTTACATAGATTTACAAGTTTTAGAAGCACTAATTGCCTTTATTGTAGACTATCTTTTTAAAGAGCTTTTGTTTTGGAAACAGATTTGAATGATAGAAGTATTGTCTCCTCCTGGAGCAAATTGTAGATTTCCTTACAGTCCTGGGGGTAGAAATAAAGTCTCCCTTATAATCCAAAGTCAAAAGGGGCTCATTATGGAAGCCCAAATTGGGAGAATCTACTGTTTAGAAGGTGGTGGATGACAGTTGGAGCCCAAGATTCATTTGTGGAATCACTTACAAAATAAGCCTCCAGAGAACCCATCTATAATGAGTGAATGGAGAAAAGTAGTCACTAAACAGAGTGCTTAGGAGAGAGAAGTATAGAAGATCAAAGGCATGAATCTTACCTGAACAGTTAAAACTTTGTCAACAGATCCCCCTGACCCCCCAGGATGCAGGCTGGATCTAGCCTGGTTTCAAATTTTTCTGTATTTTTGGTTTGTATTGTTTTCTTCAGTTTTTGTTTTGTTCATATTGGGGTGTATCACAGGGGTGTATGCCAATGGAGGTCACCCTTTTGAAGCTGTGTTATATGCTTTTTTGTTTTGTGGTATATGAGACCTAGGATCGATGAACCTCGAGGGATAGCAAGTAGAATAAGGGGTTCAGGAGGATGGGGGTTCAGAGGTAAAAGTGGAGTTAAAAGGCGACAATGTCAAGGAGTTCAAGTAGAAAAAGAATGTTTGGAAACTGATTGTGGCAGCAATTGTACATTCTACTTGATGTGATTGAAATTGGAAATGGTATGCTATATGTAATAAATCCTAACTAAAACAAAAAGTAAAGGGGGAGGCTTACTTATCGTTAAGTATCGTAAAAATCATGACTGGCTCCAGAATGGAGTTGTTGTTCAGTGTCAATGACCTACGTACAGCAGGAGGAAATCCTGCCCATTCATCTGCCATGCTCACAATTGTTGCAATGCTTAATTTCATTGTGGCAGCCATGGTCTTTATTCCCCTGTTGAGGGCCTTATTTATTTATTTAATTTTCTTTAATGATCCTCTACTTTATGGAGTACGATATGTTTTCTGTATGGACAGGTCCCTCTCTTACCATGCCCAAAGTGTACGAGATGCGGTTCTTGTCATTCTTGCTTTTAAGGGGTATTCCAGCTGTACTTCCTCCAAGACAGATTTGTACAGACTTCCGGCACTCCACTGCAGATTATACCTTCTTTGCCAATACCATAATTCAAATGTGACCTTCATCCTTAGTTCTCTTTATTTATTGGCTAGCCTTTTCACGCACATGAGGCATGGCTTGGGTCACGTTTACCTTAGTCAAGGGTAGATGCCTTAGTGTCCATCATAAGAGATGAAGAGTCTCTGAGTGTAGGATTCCTTCTCTTATACTGCAACTTCCTTCGGGACCTGGGGCTGAGAAAGAAAACCCAAATTCTTATACTTAGGCTTCTGCTAAGGTTTTGGATGAGGCACCTTTCTTTTTCTCTGACCCAGGCAGGAGTCTTGTGTTTGCTACTGGGCTGGATGGCAGGCTTACTTGTTACCTTCTAAGTAGAGTAAAATTTTAGACCCTTCACTGTACTTGACAACTAATATCTATATAATATAAAGTCCTAATGAGGAGGTTTGAATTTGTGGTTAGCAACACCATGCAGAGCCACGGTGGCCTAGTGGTAATGTGTTGGATTGCTCACCACAGGTTGTAGTTCAAAAGCACGGGCCTCTCCACAAGAGAAAGATGAAGCTTTCTGCTCATCAAGAGTTCGTCTCAGAAACCCATTAGGGCAGTTCTACCTTTTCCTGCAGGGTTTCTGAGTCAGAATCAACTCGATGGCAATGAGAATCTTAATAATGTCTAAAAGTGTTGAAATTTATTGCTTTGATCCTGTAAAGTATGACCTGATGTGCATCTCATTGACAGGCAATTCTTATTCAAGCTATGACTCAGAGGTGAAAAAAATTTTTCCAGTTTTTGTCTTTATCATTTTTATCACTTTATTTTCAATTATGCCATTCCCATCTGTGCAAACACGGCTGTAAGGGAAATTCCTTTTCGTTTTTGCATTTGCTGAAACTTATTCAAACAATTCTTGAAGCAAGTGAAAATGGAATACATCCATGTCCATGGCTATCTATGTCAGGAAGCGGTGGAAACAAGATGATGGATGGCTTTCCATACAGATGGACAGTTTTCAAACTAACAGAAACTTCATGTAATCAGACATGGAAATGAGGAAAACATAATTTGTCTGAACCATCCTATGTATGAAGGACCATGATGATGGGCGAGGAAAGGTCAGTTCCTGAAGTCCTTTGCCCCGCGGCTACAGTTCCCTCTGACTGTCACGTATTCAAGGATCTTAGGGAGAATATCTTGGAAGGCTCTCTGTGGCTTTGTTATGCTTATGTGACCTGTAGTTGGATTTTCCCGTTAGGTATTATTTATGGAAATATAAAACTCTATAATTAAGTCAACACAGAGATTGTAATATCCAAGAAGAGACTGAAGTTCACACGAGAGGCCTCTCACATCACATATATACAACTCTTACATTTTACTTTTATTTTGTATTTGCAGATTTGCTTATTTAGTTATTTCTGTGCTTTTTTCCCCCTTTTGAGGTATCTTATTGTTATATTGAATACATTTTAACTTTCTGCTGATTTCTGAGGTGTTTTACCTACATATATATAGAAAGACAAAATATTAACATTACATCCAGGCATAAATGTCAACTAATACCATGTGAACACATGTTCTGGTTTGACTTAATGTTCACAGTTGCTGGAATTTTATAATTTCTTCATATTTTCCTGTTAATTACACCATATTCAACAAATTGATATAAAGGAGAATCCTAAATTCTTAATTATACCTAGCCTGTTCTTATCACTTTCATGTTTATTTCATGTTTATTTTAGGTAAACTTTGCTATTAAACAAGTAAGTGCTCTTCATTATGTGTCAAGGTAATTGCAGTTAAAAATTCAGTTTCAAGAAATAATCTGTGATAATGTGACCACATGTCCTAGGGCTGTGCAGGTTTAATTTTATTTTTTCCCTGCAAACGGACTGACTAAATTAAGAAAAAGAGTAACCTTTTCTCCTCTACTCCACTTTCCTCAAATATCACCCCAGTCCTTTTGCCTCATTGAACTTATGACCATTCTCTAAATAAGGCATTAGTCCATGACTCTCATACAAATTGAGCCTGAAGCTAAGGTTCACATCTCTCCATGTGATTCCCTAAGGAAACTACCTCCATCCCAGTCTGCTCAGAAGTGACAGTAATGAGAGCTATTTTTCTTATTGCTTAATATTTGCTTCTTGATTTGCACAGTGTTATGATTGTGGGAGAGCTGAAAACATCATAAAAAGGGAAATCTTGGTTCTGTTGCTTTAGTTAACACAGAGTGCTTGAAAAGCCAGATAATGACGTCCTTCAAAAGGGCCAATAAGCTGCTGCTGCTGCTGCTGCTGCTTCCTCTGATCTGTGCCCTACACACAAACTAGGTCCCACATCCCAAACAACCACCTCACCAGTGCGTATCTATGCCTATCAATAATGACAAATTGAGAAAATATGAATTAATGAAATAAAAAACTTCTTATAGAGCCCACTCTGCCTAATTATAGTGCCCTCAGAAGACAGAGGAGAACTCCATAGCTTTCCAATGCAACATGTATGTATGGAAGCAGGTCTGTCATGTCTTTCTCCCGGGGAACTCTTAGTGGGTTCAAAACACCCACAGGCTGGCTAGCAGTTGAACACCTAACCACTGATTCACCTAGTAAATTGGTCTACATTGATTCTCCCTGAAGATGTCTGATACAAAATATCAGATCCTGCAGCTTTGGGTTGATATCATCAAGTATTCACTTGAAGAACTTGATGAATGGGGCACCCACACTTACCTTGACTCGTAATGTTCAAGGGATTACATTGGTCTAAGATGTATAGTAGGTTACACTTAGGTTTGCTAACTGTATGGTCAGAAATTTGAGATGAGGATTTCTGAACCATTAAGATACACAGTGTGGAAATCCCAGGGGCAGGTCTACCCTGCCCTATATGGTCACAATGAGTTGGAAATGAGTGGACTGAACAGTGAGCTTAGTCTTGGGAAACCTGTAAAGATTGTCTTACCTGCAGGATAACGTTTAGAAGGGCCATTCTTATTTCCCAGACTTTGAACTAGTGGCATCAAAACAGAACATGTCACTAGGAGCCAGTTGAGTGACACTAGTTCCAGAATACTTATGCCCTCTGTGGCTCCAAAATAGGAATCAATGTTACATGGACTTTGGACTAGGCTTTCCCAATAGAATATTAAGGATGCAATTCTCTGGGACCTGCCATTAAGGGAGTAGCATTTAGATAATAAATGTGCTATTGGCACAAAGGAACAAATATCACACATTTTAGGCTAGTTTCAACTTTCTGAGCACAAGCCAGATGCCAAATCTATACTCGTCAAGTTCAGCATATAAAGGGTAGCATACTGTATGACTGGACTTGATAGATATCTATTCATACAAAGAAAATTAGTAAGTTCGAACAATGATGATTATATCATCGCATACATATTTTCCCAGTAGATGTTCTCTTTAGATGATGGGTAAATCATTTATTCCAGATTTATATTTAAATATTTAACTTTTTGAATTTTAATCACATCTAGACTAACTATTACTCAATGGCAAGGCAAAAAAATGGCTTTCTGCTAATAATACAAATTTGGTATGTGGTTTGTATTATTGTATTGAATTTCTTACTGTTTTAATTTTCAGAGGTGAGAATTTAATGAAACAACGTGTATTTGTTTAGAACATAAACAAGTGTTGTGATCTAAAAATGATCTGTTTTCTTTCTCTTGGGTTTTGGATTTCAGGACTCATCCCAATTTTCTGGACTCCCTGAGTATGTTAAAATCGTGGAAGTTGGACCAAGGGATGGATTACAGAATGAAAAGGTAGTTTGGTACTAATTTTGTATATATATTTTAAAATTCTAAGTCTACATATTAAAATTTCTTAAATTTTTATGGCTTAAGAGATGGAGTTCATGTTATATTATTGTGTGTACTTTTGATTGCTATATGAATTTATAAATCATCAAATAGTATTGGATTTGAGTTAGAAGTTAATTTTCTGTTTTGCTTCAATAGGTCCTATAGAATTTACTTAGCAAATCATTTTTTAAATGATTTCATAGGTTATAGTTCCAACAGATGTAAAAATTGAATTCATCAATCAACTTTCCCAAACTGGCTTGTCGGTGATAGAAGTGACCAGCTTTGTGTCTTCCAAATGGGTGCCCCAGGTATGTAAATGAATAGCTCTCTAGTTACAACCTTAAGTCTACTCTGACAAGAATTATTTAGTACTCAGTATTATTTACTAAGCTCATTTTCTTCCTCCATATTACTCCTTGCACTGATATGTGGATTAAAGAAAAGTATTTGGATAGAATATTTTAAATTAAGGCCTTGCAATTTGTTTAGATCTCCATGCAGAACCTCAGTGGGTACGGGGTGGTTATTCTGTGTTGCCTAGTTCGCTCTGACAGTTCCGGGTGACTCCACTGTCACAGCCTGTGTGTCAATCCATCCCATCAAGGGTCTTCCTCTTGTTCACTGCCTTTATACACTGCACTTTGTGAGTACAGGGTTCAGTTTTATGGATGATAAGCCTCTGAAATAACACTTTATGGACATGTCCTCTGTTTACCATTTCATTGACTTCACAGCTGATCTTAATGTCCCCAGGCAATTTGCTCTTCTAGAGAGAATTAATGAAGATCTGATAACTTCTCTATGGAATTTTATATTAAACCGAACCTATTGTTACTGGATGGATTCCAACTTATAGTGACTTTATGCCGGGGTTTCCAAAACTAAATTTTTATAGGAACAGGCAGTCTTCTCTTTGTCCCCCAAAGAGACTGGTTTGTTTGAACTGCTGATCTTGTGCTTATCAACCCAGTGCTTATCTGACAGCACCACCAGGACTGTCGTTACAGTCACATATTACTGAGAAATAGTGATGTTCGTTCTCTTTATTTATACGGGTTTTTGGCACTGATATTTATGCTGCATCAATATGCGATAATATGCTTGTATTCATGTAGACAATGCACAAAGCTCATTTAGAATTTTTTTTAGCCTGATGATGACAGAGACTCCATATTGTCCAGAGTTGGTGGGCAGGTGGGAACACTCATCACTTCTGAGGCTGGGTGTTTGAAATATAATTGTTAATTAATTAAAAAGCAAACAAACCTCACTGCCCTGGAGTCGACCTGTAACCATTTATGAGAGTAGAAAGTTCAGTTTTTTCCTTGAGGAACTGTTGCGGGAGAAAGACTGGGCTTTCTATCCCCACAAACAGTTACAGTCTCAGCAACCTATGAGTCAGCAGTGACTTGATGGCAGTAGGAGTTGAGTAGAGAATTCTATTCATTGATATGGACAAGAGACCCTTACTTTTGTCCATCTATTCGGTCCTGTTGAATGAAGGAACTGGAGGCACAATTATTAGTCGTTAGGCTGCTAACCAAAGGTTAGTGGTTTAAAACTACTGATCTGTCAGCAAAGGAAAGATGCACGTGACAGTTGGTTTCTAAAATAATTATAGCATTGAACATCCTATGGGACAGTGCTATGTTGTCCTAAAGGCCACTATGATTGAGAATGGACTCAACGACAATGGGTTTCAATAAAAGTCAAAGATATTTTCCTTGTGAAGCTATAGGTTGATGAGATTAGACATACTTGCTTGAAATAGTCATATTATAAAAGGCCACCAATTAATATTTTATAGATTTCTATTAATTTTAAGGAAGAGTGAGAGACCATTATCTATCCTCTTTAAGTCTTCATGAGGTTACTCTGGCTGGGGCATGGTCAATTGTTTGATTGCATCCTCAACTGATGTAGCGTCAATGTAATCTAAGATCAATGATATAGGATATACATAGTGACATTTAAGGGATGAGACTGAAAAGTGTTCAAGGTCCAACCAACTTCTTACCCAGCTGGCTAGGAAACAAAGATGGACAAAGCAAAATGGAAGGCAGTTCTCTGTGAGCTGGAAGAGGGAAATGCCCCCCTGGCCTCAAGTTAAGTGGATACAGGTGATGGGACCATAAAATTATATGATTTATTCTCTGCTTGGTCCTGAATTGAATTCAGGACTTAACCCATTGAGATTTAATGAATTCTTCCTAGACTCAAAGAATTACCAAATAAATGACTTAATTCACTGACAGACCTCAGGAGGAAGGCTGGGTTTAGGTGGAAGTGCCTTTAGAACTGCATTCCTTGTCCACCATGCCCCTGGGGCTGAAGCAAGTGACTTGATCTCTCTGAAACTTGGAAATCCCAGTAGTGATGCCCGAGGCACGGGCGGGAGGGGGCAAGAAGGCATGTGAATGGGTCCCTGTGTGTGAATGCCCAGAGTTTGAGCACCTGGCCCTGGACCACCATTCAATAGTGTTATTGAAGTGAATGTTTGACTGACAGGCAGACTGGCCTACTAATCCTGAGCACCACACAACTTAACTTTCTTCTCTTTGAAAAACAATATTTTCCCTAAGATTAAAGTATGTGTTCAGTTCAAATATTGGATCAGGCCCAATCTGAATAAGTAAAGATACATTGTCCTGTAACTCCTAAGTTCTATGTGATGGGTTTCAGCTTTCCTACGAATCCATGTACCTGTCCAAAAAATTAAAATTCGTTTAAGTAAATGACGTATGTGACGAAAAACAGTGTGTCTGGATCACAGATAACAAGGGACTCATCTTGCAAAGTTCTTCCCATCATTTCCCTCGCAATCGATCATGGTGTTTTTCAAAGGACACTGGAGAAGAGGCTCCCGGCTTTGCAGGTCACTTTCCCATCATATGATGGGTGTTTTCGACATCCACCAGCTAGCCTGCACAAAGCGTTTCTCAAAACGATTGTAGTTGGGGGGAATGCCATCTTCTATGTTGAATGATTGCATTGTCCTTATGCTAACAAAATAGGCCTTCAGTCCGCAGAAAGTGCATAATGCTAAATTTTTCTCTAAAAATATAAATCATTCTCTCTCATTTTAGAAGGAAATCATATGACATCATATTTATCTATGATAAATATGAAAAAATCCGAAAAACCTCTGCGTTTGCCATCAACCAGTTTTAATACAAAATACCTATATATGCATATGTATATACATATATATTAAAGTAACTTCTATTTCTTAAGAAAAACTGTGTGCTTGTAAAGTGATATTGTTTCAAACTTTGAATCATCCTCTTATTATTTTTCCCCAACCATAGGTCATGGGAATAGTCTTCTGGTTTATGTTTAGATTGCTGCTTATTCACTTACATCTTTTTTTTTTAGCATTTTAAAGCTTTTTTTACAGCTTCCCTCCTGCTGTTTTGTTTGGCAGAGGCTCCCTAACTAAAACAGCTCAAAGAGCAATTCCACAGTAGCAGGGTGCCATATAAAACAGTATCCCATACCTATAATCTGAAGGGCCAGAAATGATAAAATGCTTGCCATTAGAAATTACTTGTTCTTTACAACTTATCTGGAAAAAGCTTTCCTTACAGCGATGTGTAACGTAAGACCATCTGGAATGAGTCCAAGAGCCCTTCACTTGGACGAAAGGATCAACCCTAATAAGAGAAAGAAAACATACTTATGAAAATAGACAAGCTTATTGCAATTTTGGAATATGACTTTTAATATTAAGCTTTTTAGACTATTATACATATGCAAAGAAGGTATAATTTAAAAACGAAATAGTATATTCATCTTTAAGGTATCCATATGGCATTTTACCATTTTCACCAATGTAAGTGATTAAAATGAATATTATTTATTATAAAACAAGAATTCATTACACATGCATAATATATGCTTCTTTGTGTCATATACCCAGTCCCTGATTTATGTGTTTGCTCTCCAATAACCTTTTTATTGTTGAAATGGTTATTCGTAAGTCAAACTAGCACTTAGAAATACTAACTTCAGCAAAAGAGTATTCCCCTTAGGGTTCCAGGTCTCACACACACAGGTTTATTCTAAACAAAGTATGTTTAAGGATGTCTCTGTTGGCGGCAGACAAACTCTCAGTAATACATTTGTCTCAGTGTCACTAGGATGTCTTTAAAAAGGAAGTCCAATCAAAACAGTGGCTTCCAGGGAGATCTGTTGGGTGTGTTCAATACAAGGAAGAGCGAGGTCAGCTCACAGTGTTACACGAAAAACCAAACCAACCCACAACTCACTGCCTTGAGTGGATTCTGAATCACAGCAACCCTATCAGAACCGTAGAACTGGGGCTTGTGAGACTTTACAGTCTGTATGGGATCAGGCATCCTAATACGTCTCCTAAGAAGCCACTTCTGCGTTTTAAACCATTGGTCTTTCAGTTAGCAGTACATTGTGCCACAATATGCTTTCTTGGAATTCAAAATGTATACCAAAAAAAAAGAAAAAGGTTAGTAATGTTACCAGTTTCACTGACATACCATTCAAATGTCATATATTTTGGTGGTTCATTCACATTCTTAAGAGTTGTGTAACCATCACCACTATGGCTTCCAAGATATTATTTCTTCCTTGTACTCATTGTTGTTAACTCTCCATTGCCCCCGCTTCTCCCGCCATGTCCCACCATGAATCAATGAACCTAGTTGTTGTCTCTATAGGTTTACCTGTCCTGGGTTTCATGGACAAAAAACACATCAAATTCAAAACAAAGCTCAAACCAAAGGCCCAACAATGGCAGAATGAAACAGAGAAAAACTTCAATAGAAAACAAAGTCGAAAATATTAAAAACTAGAACAATTATACATTGCATGAAAAGGAAGCTCAAATGGCAAGTTAAATCAGATTTTAGCTTAACTACAACTGCGGTCATCCAACATGCAATATATTCTAACTGATAACAAAGCCCCTTCCATTCCTGCCTGGTCCAGAATCAGAATGGATTCACCTGAGACTTAATCCACATGGGAACCTGGGAAGGAGGAGTTTGGGGCATTCACTTTCTGCATGTTCAGAATTTATAGCATCACGTAGACCTTTGTGCTTCTTCCTTGTGGACTCAGCTGACGCTTCATTTAGATGACTTTTTGTTTTAACCACAATCAACTGGGGTAAACTTGATAGAAAGTTTGGAAGAAATCAGACAGTCTGGGGCCTTAAAATGAAGAAATTTTAAGAAAATTGAAAACTACATTAGTGAGAAAAAGACCAGGAAACTTGTGTTGCTGAATTGTTTTCCATCTCAGCAATGCACTTGCTCACATTTCAAGGATAGCA